TGAATTATATCAACACGTAATTACTTTTATTTAGATACCTGGACAACAATTAGCCTAGCCCTTGCTTTTTTTTTCAGTTTGGTTACTAATTTTCTGAGAAGTTAGCAAATGGTTTCAGGTGCGCTTAATTTTTTGAAAATTGCGGGTTTTTTGTAAATAGCACGTGATTCGAACTACATTTCTCAGGTAGAGATAAAGAGTTTACCACTAACTCACCTACTCTGATAGCAAGGTTTCGAAAAAAAATCATTTAGAAAAAAAACTAGATAACTTCAAGGTTTCGAAGTTAATTTCGACCAAAAAAAAAAGAAAAAACAATAAAAACCTGCGATAAAATCATGTCTCGACGGAACTTGGTTTCGACTCAAATTTGTCTCGGTAGGCATTTTCCGCTTTTTTTATCTCGACTAAATAAAACTAAAGCAAAAACTACAGATAAACATGAATCAAATGAAAATTTGTAAATTTTTTCAAATTCTGAGAATAACCAACATTCAAATAGCTAACCTAAATCTAAGTTCCAACGAAATCAATGAATAAAAACTTCAGATAAATCCAGGTTTTCGAGAACTTAATACTTAAAAACGAAAATTGAAAAGCAATATATACATTACTATTCAAACTTTTGCTACAACTTTTGGGCTTTATCTTTATCAAAAAAAAACCTACGCTAACTTTTTCGATTTTTAAAATCATTCAAATTACTATCTGGAAGTTTTGTTGAGTTAACTAAAAGGGAAACATAATAAACATGTCAGAGCGTCAAGGCAATTTCAGATATCATTGACCTTTGCAGTTAAGAAAAAAAATCCTTGAATATATTGGTACACTTCCTCAAAGGAAGCAATTTACTTTGAACTTACTAAGATGTTCGGGTACAGATCAGGCGTAAAGTAATATTAGAGTTTTAAAAAATTGAAAAAATCCAAAAAAACTAACTCATAATTTAAATTTTTGAATGGCATCTAATTAGCTTTCAATTCTGGTTGTTGATTTTTCTTTCAAAATTCTTCAAAGGCTGCAGGAAAAGTATCCGACGCCATGTTATCTTACAAACCTAGCATAATCTTTGCATTAAAAATCATTTTAACTTTTCACTTCTGCCAAAAGCCATCGTATTTATTGAACGCACCAAAAACAGCTACAGAACGAAACGTTAAACATGCTTTACCAAACTATTGCCAAACTGTAAGCTGGAACTACCGTCAAACAAACGAGATATTGATTGAAGAAAACACATCAAAAAAAAAATTGGTTCAGTGACAGTATGATAAACAAAACTGGTCTCGTTCGTATTTGGGTTGTGCATTTAAGCGGTGCAAATTTATTAGGAACAAATTCAAATAACCTCTTGGAAAAAAACAGAACGCTTCATCTGGATCTTCCATCATAAACTATTCATTTTTACAAGATTCAAAACTATCATCGAGGTTTTCAAGAAACTGACTGACTTTATTGGGATTTAAAAGGAAAGATGTATCCCGAAACGTTACTTTATCGTTTGATATATCAACTGCTATATTCATTTCCGGGACTTTTGAATTAGGCGATGGTATGTTTTGATTGATGAAGTGATCCAACCAAATTTGCGTACTTAATGTAACACGAATTGGTTCATTACTAGAAATATCAAAACCGTTTGATGATATACTGTTTAATTAATTATGAAAAAGTAGTGTCCTGCGGAGTATCGATGTTAGAATTGCCACATAAGATGAATGACCGCTTTTAAGACTTAATGTCATCCAAAAAAAATTTCACGAATATCATTTTGTTAGCTTTTGGTCTATTGTACATAACAGCAAGTGAGAACTTGATACCCTTTTTTCGACATTTCAGCAAGTATACTTTCATCAAATAGCGTTTCGATATAGTTAAGTATATAACAAGTATTAAATGTTCAAATCATTACACCTCCACCATGCGTGTTTCTATTTTTGACGTGGAACTGACTATAACCACTCAAAAACCGATTCTCAGTTTTGTCATTTTCTGTTAAGCATGTTTCAGACAGGCATACTAAATCGGGTGAAAACTAAGCGCTTCCAATTGTTCGTAGTGTGGTTATTTTTTAGCTGTTTTAGATGAAGCTAAGTAGCACTGGGTAGCACTACTTAGCAACTAAAACTAGGTATCATTGTTTTCGATAAACTCAGTAGAAAATGGTCGCTGTCTGAATTATTTGCTTCTTCATGTAGTTGCTGGTTGTCATGTCCACTCACTTCATGGCCCAATTGGTTTATTGGTCTTTTTGTATGAAGCTTTCACAACTACTCTGTAGCTTCACAACAACAGAAGCGCCGTTGTTTTCGCAATATTTTCACTTAATTGAATATAAGTATTAACTTCTTGGTCTAGCGATAAATTCACCCGGGTTGACCTCCATAGGAAAAAAATGCTTATTATACAATTCCATACAAAAAAATGCTTATCATACAATTCCATGCATGGGTTCTATGAAAAAAAAATGTTTATCATAGGATTTTCATTTATGAAAATTGTATGATAATCATTTTTTTCATTGAATTTTTTTCAGGAAAACCTTTAAAAATAATTTTTTTAAAAGTTAAAATGAGCTTGATTCGTTTTCTGATTAAATAAGATCAAGTTGGCCCATTTTTTTTTTTTGACAAAAAATGTTTATTATACGATTTCCATTCTATGAAAATGGTATGATAATCTTTTTTTTTCGATAAACAAAATTTTAGCCGCGACACAAAAAATTTTACTAAGTAATTTTGAAAATTTGTCCCACAAAAATGTTTTTGTTTTTCTTTCCAACCGCAAATCAAATTTTCTACGCAAACAAACATTTTCCGAAAAAAAAAATTTATGCATGCAAAATTTAATTTTTTGTGTGCATAACGTAGTCCTGGATACGATAGTTTTGGCTTTTTCTTTTCAGTTGAAATTTTTTTTTTCAAAAACGCTAAAAAAAATCCTATTTCTTTTGTATGGCGTGTTTATGTATGCCCTGATCAATGTCTGATAATTTGAAAATTCAAAAATCCAAAATAATCATCATTGAAAAATTAAAAGTTTGTTACTTTTGTTATATCATTTGTGAAAGACAATTCGAAGATAATTCAGGTCGTTTTCTATGCATTTCTAAAGCAAGACCGCCCAAACTTTGGTGCTTTGTGTAACCAAGGTCGTTGTCACTTGGGTTCGGTTGCAAACAGACCCCAAATTGTTTCAGAAAAAAAATTATAAACAAAAAAAAAACTTTTTGGTTTAAGGCAAAAACAACTATCATACAATTCCATTTAATGGAAAAAATGGCTATCATACAATTCCATTGCATGGAAAAAAAGGTTATGCGATTTTTTTTCTACGGAATTGAATGGAATCGTATAAGTATTTTTTCCATAGTATGGAATTGTATAAGCATTTTTTGTCAACCCGGGTAGCTTTCATTTTTTCACATAAGGCAACTTTGTATGAAGGTTTCATAACCACTGTTAGAAGCGTCATTGATTTCTCAATATTTTCAGTTAATTGAATATAAGGATTAATTTCTTGGACTGGCGATAAATTCAGCTTTTATTTTTTCATATTAGGCAACTTATCAGGATTGCGAGGTAACAGTAGAGGTCTAACAGGGGTATCGTGAGTACTACGCTTCCAGGAAATTTTATGCCGCAATTTTACAGGGGACTCTTTACTAACCAACTCTTAACCAATACTTTAATAGTCCCTTGCTCCGGTAGGTTCTGGTTGTAGCAATGCACGTCTTGCTTTCGTGTGAAAATTAAGAAACCTAATCCCCTCGCTTCCGCTTTTAGGGCTCTCTCTCGCATCCAAACATTCCTCTTTCATAATTAGATAACCGGCGCGATTGACCTAACCTTTGAGCCAACTGAGTCGCCGCCAGAAGATTTCACGATCAGCATTTTAAATAAATTTTACTTTTATCGTAGCATGCCTTCGTAGTCCTAGTGGGTGGCAAGCTTCAATATTTGACGGATTGGTGTTGATTAATAGACGCTGGTATAGAAGGGCTAAAGTACTCGTTAGTGGTTCTCTGTTCAATTCTACCGTGTTAAAGATCAAAAATACCTTTGGCGATTACTTCTCGAGTTCGATAACTCTTTCGCCCATCTCACAGATTCCATTTATGTTGGCAATGATTCGATTTTCCATCTGAATTCGACTTTCCGTTAAAGTGTTGATTTGCCTTCCTTGTAGCATAATTGTATCGATCATGGATAGCATCAGCTTCTTCATTGTTCCAAAATCTTCATCTCCAATTTGATCATTTTTTGAACGAAAGTTTGCAATAGTATCCTCCATATCAACGTCAAAGTCAAAACTCGACACATGCATTTCGATTCTTTATTTAATTAGTTTATCGCAACAATTAGGCTAAACATTTATTAAATTGCAAAACATCCCAAAAAGCTCCGGAGAAAATACCTGCACCATAAAAAACTTTACAAGCAGCTTTCAAAAAGCTAGAAAGAAGCCGAATTTTTGAATAAAAGTCCTTTCTGTGGGAACTAAAATCCGGCAAAAATAAGCAGACAAAAATCTAAGCTAGCAAAAAATTTCAGGTTGAAAAAAAAAACAAGTCCCGATTGGAATCAAACTGCCGGCCTTTATGGTCAAGCATGGGTGTTACAGCAACTTGGAAAAAAGCTGAACTTTCAAAACACAATCGGGCTACGGGAACTAAGTCGACAAAAATACACAGACGGACGATAGTCTGAAAAAGCACAAAACTCAAGTTTGCAAAAAACAGGTCCCGACCGGATTCGAGCCACAGGCTTTTGCCATTTTAAGCATATGTGTTGCCTCTACTCCCCATGCGCCGGATGGTTGATTGAATTTATAATAAAGGAAGCATATAGGGGAGTTCAGGATACAGGAGATGAGTCCTGAAAACAAAATTATTTACGGGAAAAAAGTCTAGCACCCGATTGCAATACCCTTTCTTATCGCAAGGGTAAGGACATCTGCAATCGTTCAAGGGGATATCAATTCAGATACAGAAAACTGCAATTCACGAACACTTTATTAGTTAAATCAACAAGCAATCATACATACATAGTTATTTTCAGACTTCAAGTCCTCATCATCACGAGATTCCTCAAATTCAAGCCATTGTTGCAATTCACAAATTAAACGATATCATTCAACATCTAGTCAAACAGTATTCACTTCCACGCTAAATTAAGCTAATGAGTGGAGAACTCCTATATTTATCCCCCTGTTTTCCATCCACAACAAAAATTAAGTCAATCAAGTCAAAATTTTCAAAAGTCAATCAATTCAGTTTTAACATCAATCCAATCAATTTCATTTCTCAAGTTAAAATTGGATGAGTTATTGCACGGGTCAATTAGTTATTTAATTGCACTTGGGTGATTCAGCATGATCGGGTTGTGTCCTATTTGTGATTGATTAGAAGCTGAACTGATGTTCAGTCGCATCTTCATTCGATCCCATAGTCAAGTAGCCTTCTGGCGTGACCTCGGGAACCGCAGCTTCACCTGAAACAATATTTTTTGAACAGTATAATGCTTTTCTACTAATAAGTAGATGATTATCAAAAAATTTCACTGACGGGAGATGATACTCTAAAAAAAAAGACTCAAAGCAGCCGTTTCTTTTTCAGTTTTTCAATCAACGGTTCATTATGTTAAGATAATTTTGAAAGATAACAAGATTTGCCTTCACATGAAACAGATTCTTTTTTGAGTAGACGTACCTGGATTAGCAGCAACGGCTGCTTCGTCTGAAAAGAACTCCTCCAGTAGAGCGTAGGCTGCCTTGTAGATGTCCTCGTTGGAGTGGTGCTGCAGTTGCTCCAGTCTGTCCAACGTCCCACTCTCCTCCACAACATTAGTCATGATCTCCAGCTACAATCACAGACAAAAAACATGATCGTCAACTAGAAAAATAGGGCATCATTCAAATTAAACAAGAACAAGAGTAAATTGTTACTCGGTAAATAGCGCATAAAGTTCCTTTCACATTTTAACGTGCGAAAATTATCCAAAAAATCATTGAACTAAAACGCTTTTGAACTAGAACTATCTTTAAACTTAGATCAAGAAGCACAGAACGCTCCAACCACACTGATTCAAAATGAACAAAACTAAAAAAAAGAAAAAATTAAAATTACCCGATTTTTCCAGCAACCACAATTGAACACAGAGGCGAAGCGGAGCTTTATGCCACTTGCGATACCACAAAACATGACGTTGCAAGCCAGCAGGCAATAAATGAGACGAAAAAGAAAGGATGAATTTATTTCCCGCGAATTAAAGCAAGTTCAACATGTATTTACACAATATTAGCTATAATTTAACCCCGAGAGGACAGCAAACCGACCCGGTAGGGTTTCAAAACGCTGCCTTCCAATCGATTTGAAATTTGAAAAAACAGTCAAAAAAACTTACATCGAAATAACTTTGTGCAAAATTTTAACACAAAGGCGAAGCTTTGCTTCGCACCTTAGCGATACAATTATGAATAACTATGATTAAAAACAAACGGAAAAAAGGGAAAAAAAACGTTTTTGTCAATGACAACTGCAACAAAAGCCCAAAATTACCTGCATCATTGGAAAATCTTAAAATAGCTTTAGGAATGCTATAAATAAGGTAAGTTTTCAAAAAGTCCTTTCTGCAGAACTGAGCAGACTGACAATAATCTAAATTTGCCCAAATTATTTATTTGCAAAACAACAAGTCTCAATTGGAATCGAACTACCGGGATTTGACGTCTCAAGCATAGAGGTTACAACAACTTGGAATAAAGCTGAACCATCGAGCTTCAAGAAGCCAGCCGACAAAATAAACAGACGGACGATAGTCCGAAAAAGCACAAAAACTGTTTCAAAAAAGGACACGGCAGGATTCAAACCGCAAACGTTTGCCATATTAAACTGCTAATTTACCTCTGCGCCAGATGGTTGATTGGATTTGAATTTATAATAACCAAGCAGTAACAAAGCCGAAAAAACCTGAGCAGAAACCCTTCATGCCGAAAAAATACAAAAAATGTTCTAAACTGATAAAAAAGTTAAGTCCCTTTTTTCCTCAGAGCACACACACCCTCATAAAACAATTTTCGGTCGCAACAACGCAATAAGTGACCACTTAGTCGATATTAATTCAGCCGAAACTTATTAAGCCTATAAAAAGACAAAAAAAAATGATACGAAAAAATTTTTTTTTTTATATAGATTGAGCCGGTGAAATTACAACCAATATGAAAACCTAAGTTCAATTCCGCCGGATTTCTTAAATGCTAAAAGCAACTGCAGTGAGAATTGTTTACAGCTAAAATAAACGATTCTGGCCAACTAAATATAAGCAGACAAATAAACGATTCCTGCCAACTAAACATAAGCAGACAAATAATAGGCCGAATTTTTTTCGATCCGGAATATTTACCGTTTGAAAAAAACTGGTCCTAGTCAGATTCGAACACACGACCTTTGCAATCCCAGGCGTATTCGTTACCACGAGGCTAAGTATGCAAGAGACACTAAAAATTTTGAGTTCTTTATGAAGCAAGGTACATCAGGAGTATAATGAGTCATGTGGACAAAGTTGTTTACGGGAAAAAAGTCTAGTACACGTTTGTAATACCACAGAGTAAATAACCTTCGAAATAGTAAAAAAAAAATTCGGCAACCTCAAAGATTCGAACCTACGACCTGGAAAATAAAAGGATCACTACTATCCACTGAGCCACGGAAGCTTTATAGGTACCAAACACTAGCCACAAATTAAGTAGAGAAAAGATGCTATGCTATGCAATTTCCAATTCTGCATTGCAATTTACAATTCAGTTGAACACTTTTAATGAGCACTTTTATTTACGAATTAGGTTAGAAAAAAGAAGGTTCGTAATAACACACTAAGCTGATCGCAAGTGTAAATAAATTATCCTAACTTTTGGTAATCACATAGAAAAATTATATTCTAATTGAGTTATTTTGTAATTACGACAAACAAATATTTGGAATACTGTCTTTCGCCATACACGTGCGATTGAAATATAAGATAATTCGCTATCTGTCTGAGACAGGGTAACCAATTAAAGGTATCTATTACCAGTCGGTTATCCTCTTTGGTGCTAAAACTGCATATATGCACTGAAGAAATTTTTTATTTTTATGATTATCTACAAAAACTTCATATGTTTGTTTCGTTGTAAGTTCAATTTGACACACGGATCTTCAATTTGAGAAACACTATCTCCGGCGTTAAAACACAAATTAATGAATTATTCAAACAAAACTCAGCCAAAAACTCTATGAAAGACACCAGTTGGAGCATACAATTTGGAGCAAATAAGTTTTAAAACTTTGAAATCTTGCAACACAAAATAACAGAACTTTTCAGAAAAACCATTTCTTGCCTTTGAAGTGGAAAAAAAATAAGGTAACTAGTCCGATAAAAACATAAGCCGAAACCATTTAGTCCGAATAAAGCTTTTAAGCGAAAAAAGTAATACCAAGGAAAATATACAACGTCAGGGCTACTAATTTTTTCAAATTACAGGAGTAAATCAAAAACAAATGCGTCTACGATAAAAACTGCTGACAGCACAAAAAAAAAATCCCCGATGTGGCAACTAAGGCGACAAAACATCAGCTGACAACCGAAAGTCTGACAATTCGATGTTTCCCGGAAAAAATTAAATTTCATACCGACTGAAAAAAAACAAGGTCCACCGGGACCCAAATCTCCGACCTTAGAGTACAAGGCAACCGCGTTACATTAATTCCAAGTGGGGGGAGTCTCGAAGTTGCTATGGTTCAGTAATAAAGCAACTTCATGATTTCTTACAGGTGTGTAAGAAAAATGTTTACGGGGAAAAAGTCTCTTCCCGAGTACAAGACACTTGCTCTCGCAAAAGCAATAAAAAACGAGAAGTATTCAAATCTTAAAACAATTACTTTACAATTAAGAAACTGCACTCTTAATCTGTGAAAAGCTTATGTTCTAAAGGAAGTTGTTAAATCATGACTGACCCTTTTAAATATGTTTGAGCAGAATAAAAGCTCATACAACCCATTTCTTTTAATAATCTCAACTTAATATCTTGTCATCTAAACTCTTTTCTGCTAAACAAACACTACACATGCTGCTCAGATATTTTTTTGCGTCTATCTAGGTTAAGAGCGCCCAAACCCGTTTCAGATTACAAACCTTAAATGTTATTTAATATACCTGGTTGATTTGTTTAGCAGCAAGCAAGAAGTTCCTCAAGCCTTCCAAAACCATTTGCACAATTTTTCCATCTTGACAGTCCAGCAAAAGTCCGTAAGGCTCCATTATTCCTGCTTGAATAGGCTGCAAAATCTGTTGAATCTCTCCGCCAGTTGACAAATTAGTGATTACCCATGCTGCCTCTTTTTGACTTTTGAAATCACCACTCCTCAGAACTTCAATTACCGGACCTAGTAAGCCAGCGTCGAGAAACGCCTGTATTTGAGAAGTGTTTCCAGCCGTGATATTACTCAAAGCCCAAGCGGCCTCCTTGACAATGTTATTCTTCTGGTGCTTAAGCAACTGTCCAAATGCATTCAAGCCTCCTTCTTCAATGACACATTGAGTTTGCATGTCATTTCCTGTAACTATATTTCCAACAGTTCGCAAGGCAGGAGTTGTGATTCGTGGATCGCTGCTGTGAAGCAAATGAATCAATCGTGGCAAAATTCCGATATCAAGAGGAAGCTGAATTCGTTCATCGGTTGAATCGGTGACATAAGAAAGTGCCCAGCAAGCATCAGTCATAATATCGCGGTCATCATTGGCGAGCAACAATTTCAAAGTAGGCAACAGCTCTTGAATAACCTCAATTTTAGGCTGCGGATTCTTGTTTCGGCACAAGTTAGAAATGGTCCAAGTAATGTTTCTCAGCATAGGCAGATTCGTGATGGAAGTAGACAGCTTAATCAAGATTGGCACAGCTCCTGCCTCCGTAACTCGATCACGCTGCGGAGCCCCATCCCCGGCAATATTTCCCAGAGCCCAAACGGCCTGTTCCACAACATTCATATGCTCAGACTGCAACAAATGCACGAAAGATTCAACTGCGCCTGATTTTACGACAGCTTTGGTCTGCTCTGTAGTTCCTGACGCAATATTTGTTATTGCCCACGCAGCTTCAAACTGCAATAGCGGATTATCATCAGCCGTCAGATACCTCACTAATGAAGGAATCAAATTAGCGTCAATTATTTTACCGATAGGCGGATTTCGTTCACGAGAAAGAAGCCGTCTTGTACTTCTGACAGCCGAAAGCACTTTCATGGGGTCAGATCCCTCGATGTGGGTCTTGATGTCATCCAGAGTCATAATAGGCTCATTTGTAGCGGCATTTTGAATTACAGATCCGTCGGAATTATTAACCTGGACGGGACTCAGTGGTTCGTTCACATCAACCGACTCGATATTTCGACGTTTCATCATCTGCTCTTCCTTCTTGTTCTTACGCAGCTCAATTTGATTTTCTTGTCGGTTGCTTCGCCTCTCTTCGAGATCCTTTCCAACATTTTTAAACTTTCGCAGTCTGTTTTCCTGGTCAGTCATTTCGGAGAATGTGAATGGCAAAGACTATCTGAAATGGTCAATCTTGACAGCTGTTTTCAATTTTTATGTATTGTTTGTCATTCAGTAAAACAATCAAAATTAAAACTAATATCCGTTATGGTGAATTATTTCATATACTAAGTTCAGTCAAAATGTATATTTCAAGTCATCTGAGTAAGGAAACTGTCTTTAATTGTCCGTATTAACTCGGAATCAATGTGCTTCCGCTTCAACCTTCGGTTTGGAGCTTGATCGATACCAGATCTCCAGTGGGTATATAACTAAGAAGTAGACCGTAAGGAACGTCTTCAAATCCTCCCCGGTGAATTTCTCAGGTTTCTTGAGAGAATGTGTGGTCTGCGACATGGCCCGACCTGGCAGGCGTTGGATTCGACTTGATCTCAGCAATCGGGTCAACATGTTTGTCTGAAAATCGAACGTAATTGATAACAATATTAGGTTCTTAAAATTTTACGTTCAAATAACTAGAGGCCAGCTGACGCTGAAAATATCTGTTTGATAATTTTCTTAATTTTTTGTACTGATGCGGAATGAATAGTTGGTTCTCTCATAATATAAGTGGGAGTGAACTTCTTCGAGAATTTGGAAACTTGTTTTTCGTACAGCTTCGAGAATGTTTTTCGTACAATTCTTTAGGCGCAGCAGCTTGGCACGTAAGCTTCCGACAACCAGTTGCTTCGATTTAAAAATTGACATCAAATTCGGCTGGGAAATTTTGGAGAAAAATCAAATTTTAAAAAACAAACAAAACTTGACTAAGGGCTATAATCTTGGGTTTTTGAAAATTCCAACGTAACTGCTGATACAGGGGAGCTTCTCTCAATTGGCGGTCACCGCTTATGCAGTTGAGCTTCCCATAACCCGTTCTATCCATTGCAACCAAAATTTGAAAGGGTAGCTTTCGAGAAAAGTCAAACAGCTTCAAAAAACGGCAAAAAATCGATAAATTTGACATTTCCAAGAGCCATAACTTTTTGTGCATAAAAAATTTGGGCGCATGGAAAAGAGCTTCTCACAACCCGTTCTACCTATTGAAATCAAAACCTCAGACTTGGAAAGAAAATTTTCAAGAAAAGTCAAAGAATCAAAACTTAACTTTTCTGAGGGCCATAAAACTTTGTTTACAAAACTTTCTACCCGTTCTACCCATTGAACCCGTTCTACCCATTGAAACCAAAGTTTTAGATATGGGAGGGTCGTTTTTGAGAAAATACAAAAAGTTACATAAAATGATCAAAAAGTCGACAATTTGACTTTTCCAAAGATCATAACTTTTTGTTTAAAGAAGTTTTGGCAAAGCCGCTGCTGCAAGGGAGCTTTTCACAAACGCGTTCTTTTGATTTAAAACAAAACATCAGATTTGGGAGTGTAGTTCTTCAGAAAATGTAGAAATCCATAAAGATGGGTCAAAAATCCCGTCCGAATTTTTCGAAGGCTGTTAAAATTTAAAATTTTTCCCATAGCGTCTCGAAAAAAAACCCGATACCATACATTTTCACAATAACTGTTTTTATAAAACAAAATTTTGAAAATGCGTTAAAATAAACTTGAAGATGGTAAATTCACCAGATAGAGTTACATGATTAAAAAAATGAAACAAGGAAATATAAAAATGAGGACCACGCCTATAAGAGGAAGTGAGCAAAAAAAAAATTAGAAACACTAGCGCCAATTGAAGTGAACTACGAGAAGGAAATAAGAAAGCACCAGGAAAATGAAAAGAGAAGGGTAAAAGTAGGTAAACCATAATTAGGCCACGGGGCGAGCATTTCTGGAGCCTCTCAACATGTTGTCGCGGATCTCAGCAAGGAGAAATTTATATCCGTTCGTAGATCGCGTAGTGTTGGTGTGTACTCATCTCCGGACTTTTGACTCTCTAACGAAGCCAAGTGTGACATTCGACCAGAATGGACCAAAATGCAAATTCAGCAGATTCGGAATTTTAGCAGCGAACCTTCCGAATTGCCGGTTTTAAGCGATTAACAACGTTATTGGGACGATTAGTCAAACAGTGAAGGTCAAGATATTCTGGTATTTTGAAATTTTAAAAATTCGAAGTATGACGTCATATTTCTGAGAAACGTCAGAAACGGCCATTTTTGATAGAAAACCAGAGAAAAACACAACAACATTAGTTGCGCTAGCGATAACAACGAGAATTGTGATCGAAAAACAACGACAGATTGCAGGAATAGCAGAGACCGTTCCGAGTTGCAACTATTGTGTCGCTACAATAGTTGCAAGGCCGTTGCGAACAACGGTGGAGGGTGGAAGACAGCCTTCCGGAAGGAAGATAAGAGCCTTATTTCCACGGATTCCGAAATCCGGAGGGGTCTCGGGACTGGAACTTTTGTTAACTTATATAAACTTTTAGCTTCCCTATTATGTCCTGAGTTGAATTTAATTAACATCTGAATTCATTCTACTAAGATGAGAAGCTATGAGTTGGGGTAAAGGGTTGATATTGATACATCCATCTTCGATGGAGATGATGATTTTTATCTACTGAACAAAAACAATAATAATTCAATAAATAGTAGTAGCCCTGATTTTAGGAGTGATCTCGTGGTCTGGGGATACTGATACCCAGCCATGAGCTCACTATTTCTGCATGCAATCTAGTTAATATGAGTGTTTTGACCGAAGCCGAAGGCAGTAACGTTTCGTCGACCCGATGTTAGAGAGACCACCGAAAGTACTGGCTTGGTAGAGACGGTTAAAAGCATGTAAAGCTCTGTTTAGACGTTGGCCAGTCGTCTTAGGACTTAGTTTTATTTTCCGTCGATATGTATCTTCCGGGCGAATGTTACATAGATATTTTTATGGCGCTCCTGGGTGTTATTCTTTTTAACATCATGACCGGCAGAACCGTTAACGAGCATTCCGCGCCGAGCGGATGCTCACATTAACGTCCTTAGTAGGCCTAAACAGCCGGGGCGGAAGGGTAGTTCGGAACGTGGAAGCCTTCCGGATTACCGTGAATAGCTTTTTAACCTAGTTAAGACCAAAAATTCACGAACCAGGAAGGGTGGGGGGATTCGCGGTCCCGTCATTTCCTGAGTGGTCCGTGACCAAAAACACTTAAAGATATAGATAAAACCAAACAAAAAGTAGTATAGTACCCAAGAAAAACAAAAAACATAAAAATTAACCGAAAAAACCAAAAACAGTAAAAAAGTAAAAAATCAGTAGATATCATCCCCCCAGACAAGATGTGATCCGACCCTCCCGTTTGTTGTTGATAGATATATTGTTGCTACAGGCATTTATATCAGTCAGGATCGTTACGATCAATTTTGTGGCCCGTTTGTGAGGCTTGTACTGTAGAGTTATTTCAGCATATAAGCACGTTAATGATAAACTGCGCTCAATCCGGAAGGTTCAACTGATTTGCGCTCAATCCAGAGGGGTCTTGGGAGAAGATTGATCCGGCAAGCAGTACAAGGAGCAAGAAGAAGGGGCTCAACGACAACAACAATCAACTGTTGGGTATCGTTAACAAGTTTTGTATCCCTTTTGGTACAAAAAATTAAGATAGTAATCTGTGGGGGGCTCGACAGTGCTGCGCTGTAGTGACCCTTTACCGAACTGCGAATATCCGAGTTAAGCACCTTAATTCGGATATTAAACAAACCCGGAGGGGTGTAGTATTACTAATATTATTACTTATTTAGCCTATATTAATACTCCTATACCGTTTTTCAGTGAAAAACACAGAAAGCAGACCGGTTTTTAGGGTCAAAATAGCGATATTTTGACCCCCCCACAAATCGCGATTTTTGAGATATCGATAATTTTTGAAACGGAAAAAAGCGCTAAATTAGTGTGTTACATCGTAACTGCACTACTATAATATATAGAACCGGTTAAGTTTAGTTCGGAAGTGGTTGGAACTATTTTGGAACCAAAAACCAAACTTTCGTGATTTTTGAGAAAACGAAACACTATAAATTCCGAAAATTTTTTGAAATTTTTGAGTTAGAACAGTAAAAGTAGTTGTTCGGACAACGTCCACTAATGAATCTACGAGTTTTAAAACCCGCTACCCGAAAGCCTTCCGGGTTGCAGAGAAATCGAACTTAACGTTTTTGATTTGGTGGATTCATCAATCCGGAGGGGTCTAGGTAGCATAGTTTTTCGCAAATTTTTTCAACTAAAGCGTTTTAGATCAGGTCTTTTGCACTGAACTAGAAAAGTATAGGCCTTCTGAGATCGGATCAAAAATTTTCAGGTCGAAAAGAACAGAATTGCGGAAAAAGTTAGGCGGAACCTATAAGAGAGAAATTTCTTGACTTTAGAAAAAAGACGTTTTGGTTATTAACTTTGGAAGTACTGGGCATGTTCAATTGATCTTGGTACCAATAGATCAAAAATTAGCTGAGCTTACTGATAGGGACAAAAGTTTTTCGAAAAAGTAAGCGTGAGAAGTTTTTGAGATTGTTTTTAGCAAATTCACCAATTTGGGAGGGTAGACCCTTCACGTTTTATAATTTTTTTTTAGGAAAGCCCTTACACCCCTCCCAAAAGGCAACAGGGGTTGAATAAAGTGACTTTAGGCTGTTCTAGACGAAAAGGGAAGGCTAAAGGCACAGGAAAACCTTAATCGAGCCGAAGTTAGGCTAGCGATAAGACCCTTCACCGTTAGCGTGAATTGTCAAATAAGAGGCTTAGCTTCAATCCGGAAGGGTCTAGAAAAGCATTACATACCCTTCCTAATTAATTGAAAAAGCAAAATAGCATCGGAGAACGTATCCGGAGGGGTATAGGTTGAAAGAAGGAAATCTCCGAAAAGCTACTTTTACAAAACCAAAGGGCTCCCAATTCGGAGGGGTCAAAAATTTTTTCAAATTAGGAGGGGTCCGAATCCGGAGGGGTCTTATATTTGCTAATTCGGAGGGGTCCCAATCCGGAGGGGTCTAAATTTTACCAATCCGGAAGGGTCCTATTTTTGCCAATTTGGGAAGGGTCATATTTTTGCCAATCCGGAGAGGTATTATTTTATT